TCTCGCTTTCAAAAAAAAGGTTCTGTAGTATGAGTTCTGGAGGCGTTTTCGTCGCTGGAGCACGAGTCTCTGTCGCCAGTGCTGGAGTACGCACGCCGCCTGCTGTCGCCAGTGCTGGAGTACGCACGCCGCCTGTACATACCTCAGCATACCTGCTGAGCCCACTGACCTCACCACTGCACAGCAGTAGTCCAGCATTCTTCTCTTCTGCCTTGCCTCTACCCAGTAGCCGTACCTGTGTTGTGGCGCACCAGACATTGATCTCTGAAGTGTGTCACCACTGGTGACGCTCCTTACATCACTCTTCCCAGAATACCCTCTCGTGAAGTCACAGCAGTGCACTGCTGTCGGGCACTCGCCAAGTCACATCGATCTTGAGTCTAGACCTTTTCTACCGGCTGAGAGCGGAGGGCGTCTCGGAAGACCAACACGAACATCCACAATCAAGCCGACGAGTACACACCACACGAAAGAGGTAAGCATGCATAGGCGAGTCAAGTGTTGTAGCAACAGTATCGATGCCAGCAGGAGCTAAAGTCAACGGTGTGTCCTACGCTCATACGCTGGCGATGATGCCGAGATGCGGGAAATCTCGTCTTGTTCTAGAAAATCGGGGTGAACTCATACAGCAGTAGTCTACAGTCCCGCGCCTCGTGCATCCCTCCGTCCTACCGTTAATAGAGCGAAGCGGCGTCAAAGCAGCAGTTATGTTGATTTCTACCGTTCCACTGCCCCTTGTGGTTCACCCAAGAGCCACCTTATTGTCCAGCACTCCCGTGCAATTGCATTAGACTACAGAACCGGCCCGCACTTAAGAACCTCTTATTTGGAGCGAGGCTCGCTTCTTGTTGGCTGCCCCAAGCCGAGCACAGTTCTTATTTGCCAGGTTCTTATTTCGTCATCCAGTTGTCTCCAGAAACGGTGTTCTTGTTCTTATTTCATCATCGATTGCTCAATTGGTGCACTACTCAACTGCACTCGACGCAGAGTTTCATACCCGCAAACACCCCCCCATGGGGCATCCCCCCCCACGGTGTTTTGCCATCGGGGTTGGTTTTTCGTCGCTTGGCAACGACGTTGTAAAACAAGCCGCCCCCCCCGGTGTTTGCCATCGGGATTGGGTTTTCGTCGCTTGGCAAAGGCGTTGTAAAACAAGCCAATTCACTTCGTGAACTCGGCAACCAGGTTACCG